TTGGTTGTCTTGCTGCGCCGTCTTTCCAAAGTAACGGGGAAATCGTTTAACAGGGTGGCAACTCCTGTATTGTGCACAAGGTCTGTAGAATAAATAATTGATATATTTTACTGAAACTCTTAAAATGAGAATTTCTAGTAAAGTACGGAAGCGATTTTAATAAATAATACATCAAATTGATCAGGCGAGGGAGTATAATCGAAGGCATGTCTTTAATTCATTGAAAATATTCTTTAACATAGTTTCGTTTTAATCGAAGTATCGAAATAGGGTATCGATATAAGATTAATGTGTTCTTAGTTACAATTTTGGAAATAATGAGATGCCCACAACGCACAATGCGGTTTTCTCAAAAACTGACGGCTTTTCGTTGCCGTTCCGCATTAGTTAATTATTAAAATTAATTTCCTTTCAAAATTATTTGAAAATAGAGATAGCGTCGAAACATAACTTTTTCGCACATGGTTAGTGTCTTGGGAGTGTAGAGCAGGGTGGAACTGGTTACAATTTTGTAACATATGAGATGCCCACAACGCACTATGCGTTTTTCTCAAAAACTGACGGCTTTATCTTTATGATTTTTTCACTAAACTTGCTTTAGGCGATTCCCAATCTGCCAATATACCGTGCATGTTAGTACAACGTCCGAGAGTGGAGCCCTGTGCAATTTAATATTTCACCGACGCTAATTTGACGGACATTAGTTTTCGGGCCTTTTACTGCATTCTAGCGCTTTTCAACACTGGGTAAAAGATCTTCTGTCTCTATCGTTTTCGCTTATGTGACTGCACTGCATGCCAGAATGGAGAGAAAGATAATGCAAAGAGCGATAAACCCTCTTCCGCGTCCCTACCATTGTTTTTCAGCAATTTAAAGCTTACATTCCCTAATCGAAATTACATAGATAATTAAAATTTGTTTTGAGTTTATTGGAGAGTTAGAGGGGAAGACAAAAAGGACAAATTTCTTAAATTGTTAATTATTCAATAGAATAAGCTAGCCGCGCATTCTGCTTTTTCTTAGTCTAAATTTATAATATCACATGTTAGTGGAAAATTATGCAAATCAAAAAGATATTTTATGGAATTCAGATCTTGGAATCTATTTTCTATGTTCTTATGCAGAGACCTAATAAGGAATTCGAATTGATCTTCTTTTCTAAAGCTACTGATATTTAATTCTAAAAATATTGCGTTTGTTTTCTCTAAACTATCTTATTTTATATTCTCTAATTGATTAATTAAGATTGAAAGTTTTCTATGAAACATATTTATTGAATGCATTATGTAAAAAATTAGTTTGTTTCTTCTTTAAAGGCATAAATTGAGATCATTTAATAATGAAGTAATGTCACAACAAAACAAACAAAATATAACAAAAAGTCTGAATTTTTATAAACATTGAGAAGTTCCTTGACGTCACCTAATAACGTTTTTAAAAAAGGGTTACTTCACTTCTTAAATCAAAAAGTCGACTTAAACATTTTCCCCGACTTAGCCATCTAACCTCTGTATACATAAGTAGATCTCCATAATCTGCATTTAGCTCCTCAATAAATGTCTAAAATTCCCAATGTGTTAAGCTATTATAACCACCTCATATTTTATTTATTATTTTAAGGGAAGTGCTCATTACGTTAACCATTTTTAGTTCCTTGGCGATGAAAGAAGGGGCAAGAAAATCCATTTTTTTTAAATACCTGCTAGGCCTTTGATTTTTCCGGTCATTACTTTTGCTCCATCTGTGCGAACGCAACTTAGCCTATTTTTATTATTTTCCAATAAAACAGTTTTAAATGATATAAATAATATATCGAATAAAATTTGCCCCGGTACATGTCCGTGAAGAGAAACAACATCCCAAAGAATCTCATAACAATTAAAATTTTAGTGCACAAATTTTATAAATATTGTTAGTTGGCAAATATTGTTTATGTCAGTACTTTCGTCCAGGCAAATAGAAAAATTTAAGTTTCTCTTTTGTTGCAAAAAAAAAATTGGATAATTTTTTTGAGTTCTACGGGAAATGGCCCGGGGATAAAGCAATGTTTTCGCACCGTTCTAAAATTCATCTTTCTGCCATTAAATATAAAAAAGAAATCCATCGGTGAATGACCGGCATTGCTTTGCTAAGGCTAACGCTACGATATACATAAGATGTATTTTTCAAAGCTGAATTGTCTTTATTGGGAATTGTATGGGCAACATGTAAAAGAAAATATTTCGCTTTTAGCTCTAACAATTTTCTTTCGCGCCCATCAATTAAATCCTTTAAGTCCGAATGTTTAAGGGAATAATGTCTTTTTATATTGTATAATTTACTAATTGGTAAAAAAGAACTACAAATTACGCATTCTGCCTCCCCATAAATATTTTCTATAACAAAATTTTGCAATTCCCAATTTTTATTGAATTTTATTTTTCTTAATGTGAATCATAAACTTGGACAGCGTGGTCTTTCTCTGTCGACGGCTGAACAGCAAGTGATTTTGATTTCTGTTGCTCTGCCACGTCGCAGGATACCAGAATGTGTTCTTTCATTATAAGATGGCATCAAAAAGGTGTTCCGGAAGTGATGAGTCTGTCCATTCTTTTTACACGGGTGCGGACAAAGAAGAATGCACCCGTTGCAAGCTTCTGGAAGCGTGTATCTGGATTGCACCTGGAAGTAACAAACTAAACAAATTCTGGGTGCACTCTTTTTTTTAGTGCACCTGGAAGCAACATACTAAACACCCTCTGGGTGTACTCTTTTTTAATGCACCAGGAAGCAACAACATAAACACCTTCTGGGTGTACTCTTTTTTAATGCACCTGGAAGCAACGTACTAAACTCCTTCCGGGTGCTCTCTTCTTAAACGCACCTGGAAGCAACATACTAAACACCTTCTGGGTGTACTCTTTTTTAATGCACCTGTAACATGTACCCAAAAATGCACCAATATCTGGAAGATTTCCCCAGAAATACATAAATCTGGATTTAAATTTCATATTTATACCCGTTACTCGTAGAGTAAAAGGGTAAACTAGATTCGTCATTTTATGCGGATTCTTGTTCACATGGAGAATCGCTAAAGCGGACAGCTGATCGGCATGAGCAAACCGTTTCCGAAGGAAAGGAGGTGGAAATTCAATGACTTCGTAAAAATACAAAACAACGCAAAACTAAATATAATTTGAACGCTTACTTTTTATTTTTTTTTATTGAAACTAAGCCTTATTTCTTTTTTTGATTTGAAATAAAACTCGAACTACAACTTCTTCCCATTTAAGACTGATGGAATGGAGTGACCATTTTGTCAAGAAATAAACTAAGTTGACCACGGCCAACACTAATAGCGTCTTCCCACAGAGATCCATCCACCATCTACCATCCGTTCAACGGATGGACCATAAGGTTTGGCCGTCCCGAAAATTTCCCATTTAGTTCCACATCTAGTTTTAACAGACTCTTTTATGCGATAGTTAGGCGATGTTTTTTCGGTGCAACTCTGAATTCGTCTTCTTGACAGTGAAAATTGTAACATTTACTAAGAAAGCGTAAACAATGATGACATTCGAAAAAAGAAGGCGCAGAAGCAACAGGTTTTGTTAGATTAGCCAGATCAGCTGTCATCGGATTTGTCAAAAATCCCAACCGTTTCGAACGGATGGACTCTATGGGGAGAGGTATAAGACTAAAAAAAACTATTAACCAGTAAGGGGTATAAACACAACGGTCGCGCGTTAAAATGATGTCGCGATAATTCTCCGTTATCCCTTTATTTCTTAAAATTCCTCGGGTCTCCCATTGACCCAATCTTTTATTTTTCAACCAAGCATCAATTGTGTTTTTTAAATATTGCTTTGTTTATCTAAATGTTTTTTAGGATAACATATTAAAATGTCCCTTTCAAAAAAGAATGCTGAATTTCATGCTTAAAGTGAAGCTGTACGACTGTTTTAAGTATTAAGTATTTAACAACAAGCTAGCTGTGGACATTACTTCGCGTGAAACTGCGGAGAAGCCCATCATCCATAGGTTCTCCACTTACTTGGTTATAAAAGGTAATGCTCCATGTTTATTTTTTTTTTGACTGAATAAAAAAACATGTTTGCTTTTGTTTCTTTTAGAATCTATTTACTTGCCAGCATTTCACTCAAGCCCTATTAAGAAAAATAAATGCAAAACTTTGTATTCCAGATTTTTCAACTGGGAAAGGCTTTTCTAGGTATCTTCTAAGAACGTCTTTCAGAAGTGATTTCGGCGATATCGCATTCGGATCGCGAAAGTGACTCCCTCAAAGTCACATCTATTTACGTTACTTAACGTTACCGCGCACGATAGTATTTATCTTCTGGAAGTCGCTAAACAGTGCAAGGAAAACTGTTAAGTGGTTATGTTAAAATGTACGAATGCATTGCATTTTAAAAAAATAAACGATCAGCTACAATTCTCTTCGAAACTCGCTCTCTCCGCAATCACTTGTTAAATTTTCATCCTCATTCTCGCGTGTGGATCTCTCCCTTGGCCCATTTAAACGCTTATTTTACTTCCCGGCGGCCAAACGTTTGAAAAAAACGAAAGGGCGATAACAGCTACCAAAGAACCGCCGGAATTCAAATTTGTTATTAACTTGTTGGTTAACTATCGCAAAGTACAATGATTTTCCAACTGTAAGGATCAAGCCCTAATCCGAGTTTCCTACCAGCAACCAGGATCCAACTGAATCTACACAGGCGCTTCCCTCTTCGGCCACAGTGGCGCCTTCGTCGCGATCAATGTTTCCCCTCCCCGTAGGTTTCAGCGATTTTCTAACTTCAATGTTAAGAATTGTAAGAAAACGATGTATTTTAACATTTCTGTTAAAAGGAGAGGAAAGCTAACAGTCGCGCTCTCTTTCGAAATCGAATGTCTCTGGCCGTATCAAAGTATGTATGCATTGCATTCTCGAAAAAATAGGTACAATTCTCTATCGAGCGGAGAGGCGGCGCGTTTATAACGCGTTTTGGTAGCGATTTTGAAACTTTCAACGTTGTGGATCTCTCGCGATCGGACGTTTTTTCGGAGAAGCCTGGTCGCATCGAGATCGGGTCCAACTCTTGGAATTTTCTTTCCGATTGTCTTGGAAAATATCTTCTTCGTCGCGTGTTTGTGTGTGTGTGCTCTGTGGAGTTTATAAAAATAAGTCGAAAAGTGTTTGCCGCATCAACAAAAATAAAAACACCCAAGAGTCGAGGGCTGTTTGTTGTGTCTGTACAACAGAATTTCTAAATTTTTACCTCCATCGCCCAAGGAATACATAGAGACGAACGATCGTAGCTGAAAAAAGTATCCGGTATGTTATTAAATCTAAAAGAATCGATTCCCAGTTAGAATTTTAATCCACGCGGAGTTTTTACGCAGTCTTCAACAGCTGCAGTCTCCCCGTCCCGCTTCCTCCTTGACTAAATCTGTCTCTTTCTTGAGGTTTATCTTGTGGCCTGTTTTGTTGTTACTTTACTTGCGTACTTCTATTTCTCCTCCTTCGCATCCGCTGCCATTGTTTTTATGTCGTCTCTGTTTACATATGTGTGTTTAAACTCAAGATAACTCCCAAAAAGTAGATTTGAGTACCAGAACGTTTTAATAAAGAGTATTATAAAACAAAAAACTACAAAGATTTTTAAAATCCATTCCTTTTTAATAGCGAACCAAATTTGTTTACAGTTAAAAGAAACTATACGTATGATGATGTACTTCTTTTCATTATGTGCCTTGTATTATTTTTTGTATCTCAAAACGCGGTGCTGTTTTTATACCCCTTACTCGTAGAGTACAAGGGTATATTAGACTCGTCGGAAAGTATGTAACAGATAGAAGGATGCGTTTCCGACCTTAAAAAGTGTATATATTCAGATCAGGATCACTAGCCGAGTCGATATAGCCATATCCGTCTGTCTGTCCGTCCGTATGAACGCTGAGATCTCGGAAGCTATAAAAGCTAGAAACTTAGGACTTGGCATGCATATTCTAGAGCTTCTTGCGCAGAACTCCTTCGTGTATCTAGTTTTCTTATCTTCCCAAGTGACTTCAAGTCTCAAAAAGCAAAGAAAAGCTATAAATGTACAATTACTCGGCCATAGCATTTTTGAAGATAAAGCATACAAGACCGAACATATAGAAACATGATGCCATAAGGCGGTAACGGCAACCCAACAAGTGAATGACTGCATGTGGACATAAAAAGTGCATTGCCAAGCTGATTTTCTGTGCTTCAGCGAGAACGCGACTGGCTAATTAAAATGTGAGCCGGGCCTGTCGCCTTGAAGCAGATGTGCCGCCGACGGATTAATTCATCTAGATTGGATTGCGGGCTGTGGGTAGGAAGGATTTAGGCGGTGCGGTCTAATTATAGCCGGACTATCGCGGGCTGATCTCATATTTAGACGTTAGACTTCCACAACATGTGTGCTCCAGACTGAGAATTGAAATTCGGGGCTGGGGTTGACGTTGGAATGGTGCATATGTCTACAAAATAAACATACAGTGGACAGTCGCAAAAAAGTAAATTCTTTCAATGAAAGTGCAAGGAAGAGTGATTTTGTCTAGTGCCTCGACCATCAGATACCCGTTACTCAGCTAATGGAAGCAAAAGGGATTTGGAGATGTACAAGCAGCAAAGCGATTTCAATATAAGGTAACATGGGCGGAAGACAAATTTAAGGGTTATGGGCGTTTTTTGGCGTAAGAGTTGCTGTGACACATTTTTTTTAAGGTCACTCGATAGGTTTTCACAAGTCCAAAACATTTCAGCTAAAATATTGTTTCTAGCATGAAAACTATGGGCGCCACAGTTTTGGGCGGCTTGTGGGCGTAAGAATGGGCGTGGTACATTCGCGTAACATACTTGCGCTGCGTACGAAGATAAGGAATATACATTTGAAATTCTAACTCTCTAGCTCTTATAGATTCCGAGATCACAGCGTTCACACGGACAGACGGACATGACTAGATCGACTCGGCTAGTGATGCTGATCAAGAATATATATACTCTGTGGGGGTCGGAGGCGTTTTCTTCTACCTGTTACATACTTTCCCCGAATACAATAAACCCTTTTAATTTACGAGCAACGGGTATACATATATTAGTGCGGTTTATTGCATTCTTGTTTTGTTAAAATCAGAAACGGTAGTTTTCTGATAACACCTGAAATTAAAAAGATGGTTTTATTCTTATTTTTTAGTTAGGAATTCGTTTCAAAGTATTGACTTGTTTTTCGAGTGATTACTGTATGCAATCGTTTTTTTGTGGTCAAGTAAGCTGCGCGCCTCGATGAAATTGGAAATATAAACACCATCTCCCGGCGAAACTAAGAAAACATGAGCCAGGGCAATTGTATGAGCCAATTTTTATGAACTGACCACAACGACACAAAATATGTCCGTATATACATACACCCCTACACTCAGATACACACCCAACGAAGTCGAGAATCGTGGGTCGCTCCACTGCTCCATTATTTACTCGCACACAAAAACCCATATTCACATAGTGTATGTGCCTTGTATGCCTGGTAAATTTACGTTCTGTTCTTTGCTTATTTGTTTATTTGCGAGTTTCCTCGGCGGCAAAACGAACGAAAACGAAATTAACCAACGCACAAATAGCAAACAAAAAATTCAAACAAACTGAAAGTAATTAATTCTGAAGTAGAGTCGAGTTCCCAATATAGAGTTCCACAGAAACTTAATCTGTGAATGAACTTTTATCAGGGCAGTTGAGGCATTATGAAATAAATAAGTGTTTTTGGGCACATGAGCAGCTTTACTTTTGAGTCCAGATAATTATTAGAATGTTGGGGCTTATCTCCCTGGCTCGTAGCACACATTTTTCGATTGTGGATCCGAGTAGCCGGTTTCCCGCTCCCCTCCGGGATCTTGTGATAAGAACCAAGGGTCATCTTAACTTTAACACACTGGACTGATATTCTCCTGATGGAGAACCTCACATACCATGTCTTAATGGGCATTACAATATATATTTTTTCTACATTACTATGGATCCAGACTTCTAATACAGATAAAGTGACTTTGTTTTGGTTTTATAACTTATACACAATTCCCAATCCTTGAGACTCGCTTAAACTATACTGGTAAATAAGCGATCCAACGCACCAGGCAACAGCGGACTACCATTATCGCACTACACGATGAGAGTATTCGTACTGATAGCACGATCCATTCAGTTTCGAGTTTCAGTACGCGTCGCAGTTTGTGCGTAAGAGTCGTTGGGCGCGGATGCCTTTTTTAATGGTAGGAGACGGAAATAAATCTGTGTAGAAAATTAGAGCATCTCTCGGCTGATAAGCAGTTCAAAGTGAGGGCAAAAACGAGGAGTTTGTTCAGCGATTGAAATCGAAAATAAAAGAGTTAAATTAATAATTAAAACTTTGTTTTTTTACAGCTACCGGTGTGTTTAATAGCACCAGAATGAACGAATACATCTTTTGAAGACAGAAAAGGAAGAGAATCCGTGGTGAAGTAAGCGTCAAAGTTCGGTTTTTATTAATATTCGAAGATTGTTGGTGAAATTCATAAAAGTTGATTCAAATGCCTTCAAGACAAGTTTTGGCAAATACAATATAAATTATCAAAAAATATTTTTTCCTGATAAACAAAAGTAAAACTAATAAAAAAAACTGAAAAATTAATTATAAAATCAAAAAAAAGGGTTTCACCACTTCTTTTTTGAACATTAATAAAAACAATATTAAATGAGTCATGTTTTTAATTTTTCAAATATTTTGTATAGATTCTTCTACCGTTGCCAACTGTAAGAGATCTCCACACAAACGAACGAGAAGAAAAAACTGATTAAAGTCCCGGCCGGAAGTGCCCCAGTGGAACGCGACCCCAACAACAGAGCCAGATCGAGATGCTGGAACTGCGGCTTATCGTGGTCGTCGTGCTCGGCCTGCTCGGCAGCCAGTGTGGCCTGGTGGATTCCCAAAGAGCGCCCCAGCATGGCCGACGGGACAGACCCAAATATATGCAGAAGAACTTTGTCAAGACGCATCCTTGCGAGAGGTCCTCGTGCTACCCGGCGACGGGTAATCTCCTGATCGGAAGGGAAAACCGCCTAACTGCCAGTTCCACTTGTGGACTGCACTCGCCGGAGAGATTCTGCATCCTGTCCCATCTGCAGGACAACAAGTGTTTCCTGTGCGACACGCGGGAGAAGACCAAGCAGGATCCCGCGATGAACCATCGCGTCGGTCAGATCATATACAAAACTAAGCCCGGAACCAACAGGCCCACCTGGTGGCAGTCGGAGAACGGCAAGGAGAATGTCACCATTCAACTGGACCTGGAGGCGGAGTTCCACTTCACCCATTTGATCATAACCTTTACCACTTTCCGACCTGCGGCCATGTACATTGAGAGGTCCTTCGACTTCGGGAACACATGGCACGTCTACAGATATTTCGCCTACGACTGCAAGGAGTCCTTTCCGGGAGTACCCACAGTCTTGGAAAACATCACCGATGTGATGTGCACATCGAGGTACTCTAGTGTGGAGCCCTCCAGAAATGGTGAAGTCATCTTCAGGGTGCTGCCACCCAACATCAATGTTACGGATCCCTATGCGGAGCACGTCCAGAATCAGCTAAAGATGACTAACCTCAGAATTCAGATGACCAAGCTGCACAAGCTGGGAGACAATCTTTTGGACAGCAGGTTGGAGAACGAGGAGAAGTACTACTACGGCATATCCAACATGGTGGTGCGAGGATCCTGCTCCTGCTACGGCCACGCCTCCCAGTGTCTGCCAATGGATCCGGCGTTTTCTCAGGAGGACAATGAAGACGGCATGGTCCATGGCCGCTGCGAGTGTACTCACAACACCAAGGGAATGAACTGCGAGGTATGCGAGGACTTCTTCAACGATCTGCCCTGGAAACCGGCCTTCGGAAAGCAAACGAATGCCTGCAAGAAATGCGAGTGTAACGACCACGCCGTCAGTTGCCACTTCGATGAGGCTGTATTCACTGCATCCGGACTAGTTTCCGGCGGAGTGTGCGACAACTGCTTGCACAACACCCAGGGACAGCACTGCGAGGAGTGTATGCCGTTCTTCTACCGCGATCCCGAGCAGGATCTCAATTCCCCAAGTGTTTGCCAGCCCTGTGACTGCGATCCCGAAGGTTCGTTGGACGACGGTATCTGCGACTCTGTCAACGATCCGGAGAATGGCGCCACAGCTGGCGCCTGCCATTGCAAGGCCTTCGTCACGGGACGTCGTTGTAACGAGTGCAAAGATGGTTACTGGAATCTGCAGCTGGATAATCCCGAGGGCTGCGAGTCCTGTACTTGCAACCCCCTGGGTACTTTGAACAATTCCGGATGCGTTATGCGCACGGGAGAGTGCAAGTGTAAGAAGTATGTCACTGGCAAGGACTGCAACCAATGTATGCCGGAGACCTACGGTCTTTCGGATTCACCTGAGGGGTGCGCCCTCTGTAACTGCGACGCCGGAGGATCCTACGATAATTACTGCGATGTGATAAGCGGTCAGTGTCGCTGCAGGCCCCACATGACAGGAAGAACCTGCGCCCATCCGAAACAGAACTACTTTATTCCAACGCTAACGCAAGTCCACGAAGCGGAAGTGGTAGACGAGTGCATCTCCTACGGCAATAGTGGAAACTGCAGCCTGGTGGCTGAAAATCCGGATGGCACCTTCACGGGAATTGGTTTCACCAGGGTTCCCGAGAACACAGAGCTGGTTTTCACCGTCGGAGACATTCCCCGATCCATGCCCCACGACGTGATTATACGCTATCAGAGCACCTCTCGAGGAGATTGGGAGGATGCGTACATCACTCTGGTAAGGCCGGATCAAGTCGACCCAGACGGAGGGTGTGGGCAAGTGGCTGCGGCCACTGCATCAGAGACCAGAATACCCTTTTCCCTGCCCGATCGCAGTCGACACGTGGTGGCGTTGAACGACGTGTGCTTGGAGGCAGGAAAGGTTTATAAATTCCGAATCTATTTTGAGCGCAGGCGACACGATGGAGACAGCCCCACAGCCACAATCTTGGTGGATTCCCTAACACTCATCCCCCGCATCGATGTCACCTCCGTATTCCAAGGTTCCGTGCTGGCCGATCTTCGTAGGCAGGACTATGAGAGACACCATTGCAATGCCTCTCTGTACGATTTGAACTATGTTCCCGACCCGAAATGTCTGAGCCTGGACATTGTTGCGAGTGAAGAGATCCACGACGGAGCCAGAATGTGTAACTGCAACCCCACGGGATCGCTCAGCAAGGAGTGCGACGCCTACGGAGGATACTGCCAGTGCAAGCCGAACGTGGTGGGCAGGCAGTGCGACCAGTGTGCCCCGGGCACCTACGGATTCGGACCGGAGGGATGCAAGGCCTGCGACTGCAACAGCATCGGATCGAAGGACAAGTACTGCGATCTGATAACCGGTCAGTGCCAGTGCGTGCCGAACACCTACGGCAGGGAGTGCAACCAGTGCCAGCCGGGCTACTGGAACTTCCCCGAGTGCAGGGTCTGCCAGTGCAATGGTCATGCGGCGCAGTGCGATCCAATCCATGGAACCTGTCTGGACTGTCAGGTGAGGAGGTCAAATAGAACACATTAGCAGTCACTGGCCATTTTACAATTTAAATATTATAAATTTATTGCTAATATTTTTTGGGAGTAAAGTACATCATAACTTTTAATTTATATTAAACCTAAATACTATTATTGGTTAAATACTTCAAACACGTTGTCACAAAACTTAACTTCAATTCGAATTCTTTTGTTTTTCCTTTATATCGTGTGCTAAAATGTAAAAAAATAATTTTTTTGAAGAAGTTGGATTCAAAAATATTCAGTTCTATACCCAGAGTAATGTTCGTTCTGTCCAATCAAAGCGTGGTTTAAGCATACCTAACAATTACCTTAATCCATTACTTTTCTATGTACCGCCAGGACTCGACCACCGGCTACAGCTGCGACACCTGCCTGGACGGGTACTACGGAAACCCCCTGTTCGGCAGTGAGATTGGGTGCCGTCCGTGCCGCTGCCCGGAAACGGTGGCCAGTGGAATGGCCCATGCGGAGGGCTGCTCCCTGGACACGCGGAACAACAACATGCTGTGCCACTGCCAGGAAGGGTATTCCGGCTCTCGCTGCGAGATCTGCGCGGACAACTTCTTCGGAGTGCCGGACAACGGGGGAACCTGCTCGAAGTGCGAGTGCAGCAACAACGTCGATCTCTACGACACTGGCAACTGCGATCGCCAGACGGGAGCTTGCCTGAAGTGCTTGTATCAGACTACTGGGGACCACTGCGAGCTCTGCAAGGATGGGTTCTTCGGGGACGCACTGCAGCAGAACTGCCAGCAGTGCGACTGCGACTTCCTCGGAACGAACAACACCATAGCCCACTGCGATCGCTTCTCGGGTCAGTGCCCTTGCTTGCCGAACGTCCAGGGTGTGCGATGCGATAAGTGCGCCCCGAACCACTGGAAGATTGCCTCTGGCGAGGGATGCGAAAGCTGCAACTGCGATCCCATCGGAGCTCTCGACGAACAGTGTAATTCCTACACTGGGCAGTGCGAGTGCAAGCAAGGATTCGGAGGCAGGGCCTGTAATCAGTGCGAGGCCCACTACTGGGGCAATCCCAACGAGAAGTGCCAGCCCTGCGAGTGCGATCAGTATGGAGCTGCTGATCACCAGTGCGATCGGGAGACAGGTACTTGTGTCTGCCACGAGGGAATTGGAGGCTACAAGTGTAACGAGTGCGCCAGGGGCTACATTGGTCAGTTCCCGCATTGCTCGCCTTGTGGCGAATGCTTCAACAACTGGGATTTGATCTTGAGTGCCCTAGAGGACTCAACCACAGCCACTATCCAGCGAGCCAAGGAAATCAAGCAAGTGGGCGCGACAGGGGCCTATACGTCCGAGTTCAGCGAACTGGATAAGAAACTGCAGCACATCAGGAATCTGCTGCAGAACACCTCAGTTAGCCTGGTGGACATTGAGAATCTGGATGCGGAAACCAATGCCCTCAAACAGCAGCTTCAGGCATCCCATGGCCGGTTAAGCGAAACCGAAAGAAAGTTAGATGACATATACAACTCCCTGAGTTTGTCGGGTGTGGAGCTGGAGAGCCTGCAAAATCACTCCAGATTGGTGCAACAGCTGTCCAAGGAACTGAAGGAAAATGGCATACAACTCCAGGAGCTGAACATCGGGGGAGCTTTGAACCTTACACGCCACGCCTACGAAACGGTCAGGAATTTAACGGCCCTCAAGGACGAAGCCAATGAACTGGCCTCGAACACAGATAGGAACTGCAAGAGGGTCGAGACTCTGTCCAACAAGATCCAGGCCGAGGCAAAGAACTTGGCCAACAATGACAAGTTCATCGCTGACTATCGAGCAGAGTTGACTTCTCTAACATCCCAAGTTCCCGAGCTGAACAACCAGGTTTGCGGCAAGCGAGGCGATCCCTGCGACAGCTTGTGCGGTGGAGCCGGTTGTGGCCACTGTGGAGGATTCCTGTCCTGCGAGCATGGCGCGAAAACCCACTCGGAAGAAGCTCTGAAAGTGGCCAAGGATGCCGAGGCGGCCATCACCAGCAAGAAGGACCAGGCGGATCAGACCATACGGGCTCTGACCCAGGCCAAGTTAAATGCCTCCGAGGCCTACGAGAAGGCAAAGAGGGGATTCGAGCAATCCGAGCGATATCTGAACCAAACCAATGCCAACATCAAGCAGGCTGAAAAGCTATTTACTGCCCTCAACAATTTCCAGGAGAACAAGACCGCTTCCCCATCAGAGAGCAAAGAACTGGCGCAGAAAACCCTGGACTTGGATCTGAAACTGGAACCCGAGGAGATTGAGTCCCTGGGAAAGCAGATCAACGAGGCTGTCTCATCCCTGAGGAACGTAGAAGCCATCATCTACAAGACCAAACCCGATTTGGACAGGGTCAACAATCTGCAGAGCATTGCCAATGCCACCAAGGAGAAAGCCGACAAGATCCTCGACTCGGCCAATTCTGTGGTAGAGAGTCTGGCGGCGGCAGATGAGTCCCAGGGAAAAGCCAAGGATGCCATCAAACAGGCCAACAGCAACATTGAACTGGCCGGCCAGGACCTCGAGAAGATCGATGAAGAAACGTACTCAGCAGAGGCCCCAGCCAATAACACAGCCGAGCAGGTTGAGAAGTTGGCCAAGAAAGTGCAGAAACTTCAGAACAACATCGTAAAGAACGAACGAGATGCCAAGGAGATTACCAAGGAGGCGGGTCGCGTAAAATTGGATGCCATGAGGGCACGGGGAGAGGCCAACAATCTGCAATCTGCGACCAGTGCCACTAACCAGACCCTCACCGACCGAGCTAGTCGCTCGGAAAATGCCAGGGAAAGGGCCAAGCAGCTCCTCCAGAGGGCCTCCAAACTAACCGTCGACACTAATGCCAAGCTGAAGGATCTGAATGACCTGCAGGCCGTCTACCAGAACAAGAACCAACAGCTGCTCCAGCTGCAGGCCGACATTGGACCCCTGAACAAGGAGCTCAACGAGCACCTGATTCACATCAAGGAGCGAGCGTCGTACTATAGGCAGTGCTAGACGTAGATCGGAAAAGGTAAGCGTTCGTCAAGCAGTTATTACATCAGCGTAAACATGCTTTTAAGTTTCTAAAATAGATTTAATAGCAGGGAATATGTATATATATTTTTTTTACCCTTGCAGAGGGTGTTATAATTTTGGTCAGAAGTTTGAAAGGCAGTGAAGGAGACGTCTCGGAACCTTTAAAGTATGTATGTACATATGTATATTCTTGATCAGGATCACTTCATTATATTGTTCTTATGTTTCAATACCGATCTAAAACTTTTACAGTCAGACGTCTATATCCAATAGATCACACAAGAACTGAAGATATTTCGCTCAGTGTAAAAGCTTTTGACATAAAACCTTCATATCTTATTTTTTATGCACACCTTGAACAAGGGAAAATCGAGTCCCGATCGGACGTCTATATTATTTAGTTCAGAAAAAAATAAGATGATAAGATGGACATACGCTTCTTTTCGGCATCCGCTCCATTTTGGTAATTTAGACAAAGTCTACAAGGGTTTTAAAACATTGACTTGCCGAAGTTAGCTTCCGTTCTCGTTACATGTGAATCCATGAACTAAATATTTTCTTATAATTAATGAAAAGTTCATATATTGTGTTCAACTTTTATAATTTGAGTTCTAAAAACATCTAAACCTCTTTCATTAATTATAAAAACACCTCATTATACCCTTGCAGAATGTGTTATGATTTCAGTCAGAAGTTTGCAACGCAGTGAAGGAGACGTTTCCGACTAGTCTCTCAGTTTAAAAGCTATCACGCTGAAATTTCCCAAAAGACGAATTTCTTTTGCAGATAGTATATAAGTCGGAACCAGCCGGATCGGACAACTATATCTTATAGATCCCATAGAAATAATCGGGAAAAAAATTTTAAAAAATATACCTTTGGTGTTTTTAACATATAACCTCCTACATTTTTTAATTTGTTCTGAATTTCAAATGTAATTTTATCAAAATCGGACGACTACATCATATAGCTGGCATAGGAACGATCGGAAAATAGGTAGGAAAATAAAATGAAACAAATTATAGCTTCGGTATTTTTTGACATATTATCTTATACTATTGGGAATATCATTCTTTTTAGTTTTTAGGAATTTCGAATTAAATTTAATAAAAATCGGACGACTCTAACATAAAGCTATCAAAGAAACGGTCAGAGAAATAATGAAATAAATATAAAAAAAAATTTGCCTTGTTGATTTTGGTCGTATTTTAACTTTTCAGCATTTAATTTTACACAAATATTACTGAAGCTAGCAACAATCCTTAAAAATTTAACATGGTGTTACTAACATTGATTATTTCTTATAACTGCAAGGGTATACAAACTTCGGCTTGCCGAAGTTAACTTCCTTTCTTGTTTAATTTAATATAACCTAAATTTCTTTAAAGCACCTCAGGAAGTGCCAATAATAACACCTGGAATTAAAAGACTTAAAACTTATATATTGATACATTTTTTGAATAGAAATGAACATTTGAATAATTTTTCTATTTTCTTCCAGATTCCTCCTCTGCGCGGCCATTTAAATTGCCATATTCATGAACAAATAAGCAAATTGCGAATTACGAGAATCAAGTAAGCAACTACAGCAACAACTAGGAAGGCAAAAGTTATTATGTAACCACTGTTAAGTTACCGTTACGTTTTGTACTCTAAGCGAAAACCAACACTGCAATGTTAATTTTAAAAATTGAGCGAATGAAATCGATGCCTTCACTTTTAATGTGTACACACTGAGCTAAGTTTTTCTTATACTATCCCTAAACCATTTTGTAATGCAATAAATGTAATTAAATAAAACTACTTAAATGTGGAAATGGCTGCATTTGTTTGTGTTCGATAAAGAGAGGAATGAAACGAGATGGACGTTTTAATAGAGAGGGCCAGGTGAGAGAATTTCGGTAGCACAGTCCAACTTCCTTAAACAAATTTCTTATTTAGTTTATAGGGTTATTTCTATTTATAATCAAAGGATCTTTTTCCTATATTTTGGCTGACAAATTACCGAGACCTGCCTCATAATCATTAAAAGCATTTTATATAAATAAATTTTTAAAAATTATTTACATATTTCAAAAATATTTAAACTAAAAATAACTAAATTAAAATAAATAAATAAAATAACCTAAGAAATTAATCAAAGGAAATTTGGGGATATGTTATTTCTATTAATGATATTGCATTTACTTTTAATTTTTTGGCAGTTTGTACTATGCACCTTTTACTGTATGCAGGGTTTTGTAGGTATTGCTTCTTATGCTGCCCCAAACATTTCCATTTTATTCAATTTTTCGGTTTGTTTTAGTTCTTCTTTCTGCGCGTCGCGTGCTGCTTGTTTTCGTTTTTATTTTCGGCCAATTCATTTTTCTTACATTGTTTTGGTGGCCAAAATATTGAAATATTAACAACCGGAAGTTGGTGCAAATGGATCGTCGTTACCAAAGATCATTGAGGAGCTCATCAGGTATTTAATATTTTTAATTGCTATCAGTGCGGTCGGAAAAGTTGTGGAGAAGCCCCCTGCAAAGTCAAAGGTCAAGGTAATGCGGACAAACGCTGTTAATATCGGAAGAATTTGAGTTTTCCTGCTTTTTCCCTGCTGGTCCATCAAACATTTAAGCTTTTCGCGAAAAGAGTACCCCTACCCACTATCGATAAGAGCTGTCGCCGTAGCCCTATCGATATTTTGCAGCCGAAACGTATGTCATCAATTTCAGCTGAAATCTCAACAAGTGCAAGTTTCGGGTTCTATTTTAATTAAAAGCAGTCGCTGGTTAAATTGGCATTGTTTGGATCGGTATTCAAGTTGCAGTGCGTGGAAATATACACATATTTTTATTTATTTATTGCGACATCCGTGCGGGCACACTCACACACACGCGAGTGACAGATGTGCGACGTGCATACGTACATAGAGCACACGCACACAAACGCACCCAGTGCGGATGTTCTGATTTTATGCAAGAAACTGGGTTTATTTTTAAAATAACAAGAATATTCGAACATCCGAAAATATAATGCCAAAGGAAGGCGACGGTCGAGCGAGGAAAGAACAAGTGTAAGCGCAGAAAAAAGGGACACGGCGAACAGGAAAGGGGACGGTCGGCAGCCGCAAACAAAAAACGGGAACAACGGCGGCGGTGGATAATTCGGAAAATAATAAAAGAAAAACACACAAATAAAAATAAAACGACATCTGACGTGCGGCGTCAAGTGCTTTTCCCAGAGTACGTTTCCCCAAATGGGCTGGGATTTTCATTTGGCGAGCAATCTGCAATCTTTCCAATCGAATTTAGGCCGAGTCGGAAAATGCATTCAGAAAAAAGTTAATGAAATCATTTTACAAAGTTCGTACGTTCAAAGATATTTATAAAGAATTCAAATCGTATTGCTCCTTACTATATACATCACTGATAAGTGTTATACAGGGTGGACTAAATTAATCTTAAAAATCAATTAAGAACAAATTTAAAATCAACCAACTACTGTAGCCTACTATTATTGTGCATTACTTACTTTTTACTTAAAAAAAACTGGGTTTTAAAAAACGGTAACACGTTACACCGATTTTTATTAACTATTTAACCCTTATTTTTGTAAACTAAATAGGTGACTGAAAATTCAACAATAAAATACGAGCTTACAAAGTTCCTTAAAGAAATTATAACAAAATTAACCATATTTGTGTATTTATGTCCAACAATTTGAAAATGTTTATAAAAATGTACTAAAGGAAAGGTCTTTGAATCCATAAAATTTAAAGAACGAGAAGTGCGAAATTATACTACTTCCGATTCCGCCAAGTTTGATAGCATTTTAACGGGAAAGTCTCGCATATGAAATGCCCAACCCCTTTGTTGTGTGTTTACTTAAATATATTTTATATTTCTTGCATATTCACTCTGACACCCACCCATATTCACGGCTGACAGTCTCGCATGCGTTTAACTTGAAAACCCCTGGCAGAGCAGAAATCAAGCGCCAACAGAGTATAACGACACACCGGCATTTCCCATGGACGACGAACTGGAAGACAAGGTTTTCTATCAGACATACGTATCGCACATGAAAATCCTGTCCAAATTTGCGGTGGGCTTCTCGTCCATCAACTCCCCCTTGGCCTACATATGGAAGCTGTGCCGACTGTATGTCCTGCGCCCGGAGGTCATCTTCTGCGGCTTGATCCTCTTCGTCCTGTTGCTTTACTTGCAAGCGGTAGATGTGTGGAGTCGCAGCATCCTTGGACGCATCCAGGCCACCCTCGGTCGCCAGAAGGCCGTCAAGATGATGGAGATGTCGGCCAGTGCTGGGGACCACCAGAGCTGGGAGGAGATGAAGCAGCAGAGCTCCGCTTTCGCAGTCCTGGGACGCAGGCCTCGAATGGAGGATAGGTCGGTATAATGCCCTAGCCACCAAAATAATATACTTCTATTCAGCCTCCATAAATTTGAACCACTTACTTTAAACCAAATTAGTAGTCTGTATTTATATTCCTAAAATGAGAAGCTTTTTAATTGTTACTTGATTTAAATTGACTATTGACAACAAAGATCTTGGCAGATGGGACTAAAAATAATAAGTATAAAATTCCTTAAGTACTAGTGCAACTCGTGACATTAATCTGTTCCATATGACAACTTTTTTATGACAAAAATTACTTTGGCTTTAAATATGTGATCCATAAAACCTGGCTATACTTTTGAATTCGGAACATATTTGTTTACGATTACAGCTTAATTTTTCATTTTCTTAGATATTCACAAAAATAAATTTAAAACAGCATTCATGTATGTTATTAAGTGTCTAATTACATTTTAATTCTTTTTCAGATTTATCATTGAGGAGAACATCAATAACAACACTGGCATTTCCTTCTTCGCTGTGTTTGACGGCCATGGCGGTGAGTTTGCCGCAGATTTTGCCAAGGATGTGCTGGTGAAGAACATATACAACAAGATCATCGAGATGTCCAAGTTGCTGAAGACCGAGGGACATGCCGGTGATTACGATAAGAGTCCATATTTGGCTCGCAAGCAGAGTCGCAAGGATTCGAACAAAGAGAACACGGAACCGACAGCAGCGGTGACACGAAAGGATAGTTTAAGGAAGGCCCACAGCACCACAGCTGATTGCAGCGCTATTAAACAAAAGACAACCGAGGCTTCGATCGCCGATATTTATACAGCCCAGCTGAACTCGGCGATGAGAGCCAGTGGAAATGTGGGAGCCGCGAAGGACTCGTTCCTAAACAACAACAACAATGCACCGAATGGGGCAGGCCATGCGCCACCTCCAAACTACGAAGCCAAGTGCTACATCGAAAACGGACGTATTAACTTCGGGAAACTGATCACAGACGAGATCATGTCGGCCGACTACAAACTTGTGGAGCAAGCCAAGCGAGCAGTGAGTGCTTTCTCAAGCTTTTCAATTATACACATGTCATGTTCTGGTTCTTTCGAGAACTTTTATAGAATTCGATCTGACTTTGTGTCAGATTTTGTGAAAACCATAGCCAATTTTGATGTGTTATCTGAACAGTTAGAGAAATAAGATTATTTAATTTTCAAAGTGACATTGCTTTTGTGCAAACCGAGTTCGAAGTCCTGCTCGAAAATGCAGCATAAAACATTTTATTTAACAAGCATTTAATGCTCAGATCAACCTTCTTTTTGTTTCAGAAAAAATCTAAATATTTTTTCAAATGTTAATTTTGTTAACTACCTTTCAGACCAACATTGCGGGCACCACCGCATTGATAGCCATTGTCCAAGGCTCTAAGCTGATTGTGGCCAACGTGGGGGACTCCCGCGGAGTCATGTATGATTCCCGTGGAATAGCGATCCCCCTTTCCTTCGATCACAAGCCGCAGCAGGTGCGCGAACGAAAGCGGATCCACGATGCAGGCGGTTTCATCGCCTTCCGAGGAGTCTGGCGCGTGGCCGGCGTGTTAGCCACATCACGTGCTCTCGGCGACTATCCGCTAAAAGATAAGGTAGTGAACGGAATGATTCCAATCAGGAACTAGCCAAGCTAATCACGACTTTATTTTTAACCGCACGCTTACAGAATCTGGTGATTGCTACGCCGGACATTTTGACCTTCGAGCTGAACGATCATAAGTGAGTTAAGTTATTTTAATTATAGTGCATTGATACATTGACAAGATATAGAATAGGCTTTATATGATTTTTATAAAATGTATTCACACTTCTTTTCCATTTGACCTTAATTAATAGCACATCAATACAAAATTGTGGTTCTTGCATTTATACTCTTTATTGCCATTAAAACTAGCTTAACGTGTAGTTATGGAAGTAAATTTCACCAAGTAATTAATATTTCACTTTCTTTAAGGCCCCACTTTCTGATACTTGCTTCCGATGGACTCTGGGACACGTTCAGTAACGAGGAGGCCTGCACTTTTGTCCAGGAGCATCTGAAGGAGTCGGACTTTGGCGCCAAATCTCTGGTCATGGAGTCCTATAAACGTGGCTCTGTGGACAACATCACCGTATTGGTGATAGTCTTCAAGAACGATGTCTACAAGATCGGCAGCTCAGCGGGAAAAGTGGGAGATGAGACTCTAAAAGTCCCAGCCAAGTCTCAGCCAGTTGCGTCTGCAGTTGTGCAACGGTCGAATTCAATCAAAACCAAATGATATACGAAACATTAGAGTGCCTGCTTAGAAATGGTCTTCAGCTTTCCCCCAAATTTTCCTCCCAAAGAAAAAACAAAAGTGCCCAAAATTTCTAGTTAGGCGTTTTGCTAAATACTTCTGTCTTTTTGTTTCTTATCCAAAGGCAGCATTCATTCATCACAGACACACTTGATACGTAGATCACTTGAAATTGCGTTTCTCATTCTCCATGCTATTAGTTAAGGTTGTTTGTTAGCCCATGTTATTTTGTACAAAAAATATTTTGCATCCGCCGCCTCTTTGCCGTGCACTTTGTTTCCACAACTCGATCACGAAAATCATCACAGTCTCTGACATAGTCAAGGTAACATCATCAAACGTAACTATTTATTTAATTTATTTGTTATACTTGTAAAATAAAAACATATTCTAACTTATCGAAATGTTTTTACAAATAAAACAAGGCAATCGGATTGCGACAACTCCGTTTTGCTCCTTAAATACTTTATTTCGATTTTTCAATTATTTAAATTTGGGTCGTAATGAATGGAATTACCTATTCTCGTACAGCTCTAAGCTCTGGGTTGTAACAAATATATTATCTAGTAATTATTTTAATAATCAATCCGTTCAAATTGGACATAACATATTTGATGGTATCATACAAAGATGATTGGAATTTCTAATGATGGAGGTAAGAACTCCAACCGAGTGTCGTTGCAGAGGTTTCTGTGACGCCGTAGAATATGTGAAATTTTAGAGGAATGAATTGATAAAAATAATTACAAAAAAAAATATTAAAACATAATTTAAAAAAGACCCCAATAATATCTAGAGCCCTGTTTACACAGGAAATTTTCGAAAGAATTTTTATTACATGGTTTCACAGAAATCTCTTTATCAACAATACAAGTTTTCCTCGAACTCCGACCAAGAGATTTCTGGGACACCAACGAATATGTGAAATTAGATTGTGTGAAGGTCCGTGGCAGATATTTTTAACTTCCCACCTATCATATCCTATATTTTCTAGTTTAAATGGTTTCGTTGCTTACTATTTTGATTTTGATAAAAAAAATATATAGACGGTTTGCCAAATAAGTCGATCAGCGCTTCATATATATTGATGTAAGTTAACATACCATCCGAATTCCGTGCTAAGCAATTTATGGGCACCGCGACATTATTTATAGGATCGGGAACAACGACTAAACAATCTTGAAGATATACAAAATGTATAACTTTGTTTGTTCAAATTCAATTTAAAAATAAACAATAGTAAGGGAACTTTTTTTATATGTATTTTTATTATACCTACCTAAACTACGACTTCTTTAACCCAAGACTGCATTTACCCCTCTTAAAGTATAAAAAACTATTTCAGCCACTACTAGATACACAATTTTTTTGAATTAAGGACGCTTAAATTTTATTTTTGTTTTAGTTAAACAAATAATTTGGCGCCCAATACAAAAGTCAGTAGCTTAGTGAGCCGAAACAGACACCTGCCAGACGCGGATGGTGTTGTCGGAGTAACCGGCGAACAGGGTCTGGCCGTCGGTGGACCAGGCCAGGGACAGGCACTGGGGCTGGTCGGCCTTCGACGTGGGCGAGACAACCTCGGGGCGCAGCTCCTCCACGGTCTTCTTGCAGGCCAGATCCCAGATCTTGATCGAGGGGCCGTAGGCCACGCACAGCCAGTAGCGGTTGGGCGAGAAGCACAGGGCGTTGATGATGTCGTTGTGCTCCAGGGTGTACAGGTTCTTGCCGTCATTGAGGTCCCACAGCAGGGCCTTGGAGTCCTTGCCACCGGAGGTGCACAGGGAACCGTCGGGCGAGACGGTCACGGTGTTCAGGTAGCCGTTGTGGCCGTGGTGGTTGTTCTTCAGCTTGCAGTTGGCCAAGTTCCAGACCTTCACGGTGCGGTCCCAGCCGCAGGACACGATGATGGGGTTGGAGTGGTTGGGCGAGAAACGCACGCAAGACACCCAGTCGGTGTGTCCATCCTCCTGGATGGTGAACTTGCACTCGGCAAGGGTGTTCCACAGCTTGATGGTCTTGTCCCGAGAACCGGACACGATCTGACGGTTATCGGCCGAGAAGGCAACCGACAAAACGTCCTAAAAAGCGAAGAAGGATTTCACGATTAGCTAAATGTATTGGTTCTATGTTATAATTAATAATATTATATTGGCTTGAATTTTCACTGGCTGGCTGGATCAAATAATATTTTTATTCTGCATCGGAGTCAAAAGAATTAACATATGTTAAACAATTAAACGAGAATGCCGAAGAAAATTGACATATTCTAAAACATTCTCGAAAGTGTCTTTATTTATTTATGTTTATATATATTTCGATTATACCCTATTGGAATGTATTTTAAGGAAAGATTATATTTAGATTTAAGCCAAATGATTTAAACGCAAATAAATTATACGTGAAGTTAGAGATACTTAAGCAGACAGTATGTATGCAGTTAGATTTTAAAATAAATAATCAAATACTAAAATGTATCAATTATTTCAAATTGGGTTTGCAATTAATTCTTAAAAACCAAATAGGATATAAGAATTATATTAATACTGTATATCTTTTGACTACAGATGCTGATTTTCAAAAGTTCAGTACACTACAGTGCAACGGGCGAATCCCCAATAGCGTAACCCAACCAGTCAGTGAACCATTCCAGGTTAAATCTATAGTAATACTAGATCAATGGGTATCAGTGATTGTTTGCCTACTTACGAGAGAGCTTCAAGCAATTTTAAGCCGAGACTCGAGCGAAGGGAGAAGCGTACGTACAGATGTCAACCAGTAATTCTGCCTCGCATAGGCGCAATAAATATAATCTTTTTCGACTTGTACGCGGCGAAGGCGATGCCTAACCTCACTCCTAACCTTACTTTCAGCCGTTCGCCGGTACAAGTCGGGTGTGTGCAAGTCTCAAGTCCCTGACGAACTAAATTCAGTTGGAAACTTATCCCACCTTGGTGTGTCCCTCGAAACGACGGGTGGTCTTTCCGGCGGCCAAATCCCACAGGCGGAGGGTCTGATCCCAGGATCCGGACAGGGCGTAGTTTCCGTCGGAGGACAGGACCACGTCGCTGATGAAGTGGGAGTGTCCGTAGAGGCGCTTCTGGGGGTAGCCGTAGTTGGTGTCCTCGTCGCGGGTGAGCTTCCACACGATCAGGGTCTTGTCTGCAGATCGGATGATGGCCATTAATAACCGCCACTGATGAGCGAGACACCCGCGGATTCACGTGGTCTCCACAGCAAAAAACACTCACCACGGGAGGCCGAGATGATGGTGTCGGGGTCCTTGGGGTTGGTGGCGATCTGGGTGACCCATCCATTGTGCCCAATCAGGGTACCGCGCAATTGCAGGGTTTCGGACATCTTGATTCAATATTTATTTGCAACGGAGCGCAGATGAAACACGTCCAAAGGCGCTGCAAGCTGGCAGAAAAAGAGGCAGTTCCGGTTTCAGTGCTCGTTAAGATGCCAGCTGTCAAAGTCCGCAGTGTTGGACAGGCAAAAACTATCGAAACCTTGGGTTCTGGGAACCTGTATTTATAGCCTTTTCATACCGAATTCCGCAAAAGCGACTTGTTCTTCCAAAAGATGTAAATGTGACGGGTGAAAGTCACTAGAACTCACTTTAGCCTAGTATCCACAACGAGGAAATCCGTTCGTCAGAAATAAGAGAAAGTGCGAACCGCAAATAGGCAGCTAATAATAGTCTGATCAGTCAGTACATCCATGTAAATTTTACACGACTTAAGCCAAGTACTCACGTCAACGAAAACCGGTAGCTAGCCATAGGAAAGAGCCAGAGAAAAATAGGCGGGCAACGCTTTTCGTTTCTTCGTTTTTCTCTGCGGTACTCAGATGAGCTATGGAAATACCAGAAAAAATACTTGATTTCGTGAGTAAACCCGCCGCACAAGGAATAGGAAATTTGATCTTTGGCTGTTTTCGTGAAACGAAAATTTACAAATGGAAGGGAAACCCAAAATCCATGCCAAAGACGCCTGCAGGAGTTCAGTACAGCGGAAAAAGGTCGCCAAATCCAAGCTGTGGAGGGACTTGACCCACAGGAAGCAATACCACAATAAGATTTGATGGTGGACCTCTGTGGGAAGAGACTGCACTGACCAGTTTTTCAATTTTTCGGAAGTAAAAGCAAGTAAAAGCCTGTTAACACTAGGGTAGAATTGTGGGATCAACTCGTTATTTTTGCGTAGGCATCTAGAGGTGGGCGAAAGGAGGGTCTTTGTCGAGTGTTTGGAGTTTTTCGGTATTTTTTGCCTATTGCTGACGGCCTATCGCTGGAAAAATAAACCAAAACAGGGGTTCTAGCACAGTAGGGCACACAGTGTATGGCACAACAAGTTCGTAGGCAGGGGGTTTGAGTCTCCCTGACGATTTTGGTTAACGAGACAAATTGCTAAACTAAATTAACAATAAATATGCATTGGTAAATAAAATCAAATGTATTTATATGAATTTAATAAATAAAAAATAATGAAAGTCCCCTGAAAAAATTCTGCCTACGCCACTGTGAACATTTTTTCAAAGCTTACTATTTCGTATACGTATTCTTGAACAGGATTCTGTGCCACCGAGATTTTCTTTTCATTGGAGATTTGGTTGTATGAGATTTCTGTGACACCCTTGAATGTGTCGAAAGAAAACGTTAAGTAGGTATATGAAAATTTCACTAATAACTTAGTTTAAGGTCCGTTATATTGACAGATTCCAAATTCTTGTGGTCAGAGGACAGAGTTGCCAAGACCTTCTAATGACATAAGGTAAGAGATCTGGTTTTTAAGGCTGGTGAATCGCTAAAATTTTTAAAAAGGTAGTTTGTATGGAGGTGTTGATGAACAGCTGATTAAAATTTAACAATTCAACTGTTAAGGGGAATATCTTAAGAATTTTTTAGTAAATTATGTGATTTCGTTTTATTTAATAACAATTTTGTGCAGAAACAACAGCGGGTTTCTCTCAAGGCCTTTTTCACCGCCGTACCTGAGGAAATACCAGAAAAAAAGCACACCTCCTCAGTGAATATTGATGAAAGTTCATTAGTCACAGCGCAAAGATTCCAAAAAATGTGTTATAATATAAAATGAAATAAAATAACCCTATATAAATTAAAAAATCATTTTGTTTTGTAAACCTATTTTTTGCCCTTCTTAAGCCTAGTACTCAGATCGGCTAAGAGTTTCACTAGTCGAAAAATCTTATTCTTTGTAGTGTGACCGAAGTGATTAAAGCCAAACGGAAAACAAATCAATTGAAAAAATTTAAAAAAGAGGAGTCTGCTGGTACACAAAGAAATTAAAATAAAAATAACTGGAATGTTCAACGAATGTTTTTATTTATTTAAAATAGTAGTTTTAAGCTTCCTTCTCGTCCCACGGATGCCTCGCCACCTTTCCCTCGCTACCACAGTCCAGCTCCGAGTCCCAATAGGCATATTGGACTTTGAGGAAATAGGAGCCGGATTGGAAATGGGGTTGATCCGCTGATCCTGCAGGAAGATACTTCTATTAGTACCACGCAAACAAATTCTTTTGGCCAGATTTTACTTTCTTTACGAGGACACGCCCGGCAGGATGTCCATGTAGAGAGCGAAGTCGGCATGTTCCTTCCCACTGGGACTCTCTAGTGGATCTCCTCCAGCACTTCAACTATTCTGCGGATTTGCATCTGTTGTGGTATTGCTTCCTGTCTTTAAAATCCCACAATAAAGGGCAACAGCTTGGATTAGGCGTCCTATTTCATCTACACTGACCTCCTGCAGTTGATTTTGGTGTTTTCCTTCCATTTTTAATTTTTAGTTTCCACATCGCCTTTGCACGAACACCGCCAAAGATTAAATTTCTTATTATTTGGGCTGCGGCTAACGGCGATCATCGAAATTCACTCGCTAAATCTGGTATTTTTTCTGGTATTTCCTTAGCTCATCTGAGTGCCGCGCTGAAAAACAGACCCAGCGAAAAGCGTTAGCAACGTATTTGCCTCCCGCTCACACATATGGTTTGCTCGCGGTTTTCGTCGATGTGAGTACTAGGCTTTATCGATGACATTTAATATTAGTACGCATATGAAATCATAAAGGCCATGTCTTGGGGTGACCTCTGATAAATTCCATATTAGCAAAACATGCTAAACTGGATAGGGAACACCAAAGAGAGTTAAGAGGCTTAAATAGCCTCTGCACACAGCCGCTTAAAATCGCTGTTGCAATTTATGGCGGATTTTTGTTGACATAGAGAACCGCTGAAGCGAACAGCTGATCGGCATAAGCAACCCGAATCCGAAGGGAGAGGTCAATTCAGTTGCTCCGAAAAAAGCAATCAACGCAAAACTAAACAATAAACAATTTCAACGCTGACATGCGGAATGATTAAGCGCCAAATCATGATTTGCAACTCTTAAATTTCAAGTATGAGATTTCCATTCACGCAAGCGTAGTATAAACTGAATAGGGAGTATTGTGGGCCAAAAGTGACGCCACGAGAATTTTTACAAGCTAGAACCGTTAAAACCTTTTAAGTATTTATAATACCCATACGCAACTGCCGCTCTGCTGGAATCGCAGTTTCACTTTTGTCAAAAACCCCAACCGTTCTCACGGATGGGCTCTGTGGGAATAGGCTATAAAATAGTGAGGGATTGGAGTGTAAATGGTTTCCCGAGACCAGAAAAATCGATAGTTATTTCGAAGTGTCTTTGGTATATTTGAAAAAATTAAAATCGTATTAAAAGTATTCTTCTTAGGGCCGAACGGTATATTCGATCGGGCTCGCCGCGGTCACACTTTTCTTTCCCTTCGTATAATAATCGTGTCGTCGTCGCTTTTGTGAACAAAAAATACGAGGAAAATCGCCCGAATCGACTTGCTTCGAGTGGGCACAAGCATTTGTGTGGAACTAAACGAGTGAACACGCGGCTTTCAATTGAACACAACTCGATAGTTGTCCAATTTCCTGCACCCCCAAGTTAAAGAAAAGCCGTCAAAATTGAATCGACAAAGATTGACGAGACTTTTTCTTCCACCACAACTGCGATGGAGGATAAAGCAACAACAAAAGATCTTGATCAATGGATTGAGCAGTTGAACGAATGCAATCAGTTGACAGAGACACAAGTTCGCACCCTCTGCGACAAGGTAAGGCCCGGTCCTTGCCCATTTTCCCCATGCGAATTAGGAGATGTTATAAAAATAATTTTCGTCATTGCATGCGAGCGAGCGATTTTTTTTGCAAATGGTGCTCCTCCACTGCGTGCCTCTGGCCCTCTCCCTCTTTCCAATAGGCAGAGGTGCGGAGAGGAGAGCGCGAGAGCATGATTCACGTCGCACCCTCTCTTTCGCACAGTAGCGGCGGCTTGCGTCGCCATATTGGAATATTGGTAAATTCCAACGGCCAAGCGACGCATTGCCGCGCACAAGTGCGAGCGGGACAACGAGACGGGCAAGTGCGTGCGCGAATGCGACAGCTAGAACAGCGCTTTGGTCTAATGGGCTAAACCTGGGCAAAAAGAGATATTTCTTTTTGTATTATTGTACAAAACGAATTGTTTAACTATAGTGAAATGTGCGTGCTTGTGCTGTGGCCACTGGAAATTCGCGGTTCCCCCGCCTCTGTGACCCATCGTTTTCTGCTGAGTAAATATTACTTAATGTTTTTGTGTGTCGGTGTGTGCGCGCCCCTAGAATATGTATCTACATATGTACCGTCGTATCTAGAAAAATGCACTTGCAGTGGTGTTTGTGCTCCGTTTTTTATGCCCAACCATATTCAATTAAACACTTTTGATATCAATTGTTTTTAATTTGCCGATTTTACCGTTCATCAGGCGCGGCGGGCACACAAACAAACAAACGGATTGCGTGCGAGCGAGAGGGGTGAGGCAAGAGAGTGGCGAGCAGATAACGATTCATTGATTTGGGAGTAAGTGGGGTTATGTTTGCGTCACCCAAATATTTGCCTGTGTTCCCATTAGGATCTCGATTCTCCGGCCCAAAGAACGTTCTTCGCTCTTCTCGGGCGCGTCTTCTGTGGCCTCTCTCCATCCTGTTGGTTAGGAAAGAAAGACGTCCAAAGCGGAGTGAGGGGGCAGCTGAGTCAGTGTTGGTGTTTGTTTTTGTATGGGTGTGCTGGCCTCGTCATGAGTTTATATTATTTATTTTCTTTTTTCGATTTCTGGCCGAGCGGAAGCAACAGCCTCCAAGGTAATGTGCATATGGCAAAAAATCTAATTGGCTCACGCATAAATCGCTCATTTGCGCCACCGGGTTCGGTCTTAACCCCCGGAACTTGTTGTCATGTCTCTTTTCATCAGCTGATAAATATTAGGAATGCTGAAAGAACGCGATGGAATGGTAAAATTATATGAAAACTATGTTTTGTTTGCTCAACTTGACAACCGGTTATTAGAATATTTTACACTGACTATTTTTTAATTTTGCAACAAGCTCAGACATATTTTAGGGCCATCAACAACAAAGCCAAATTAATCATGTTTTGCCCATTATTTACAACTTCTTTACCTTTGAACGTGTTAGGGAAAATTTCATCATCTAATAATGATAAACGATGATCACATTTTATTTTAAGAGTGCTTAATTTGGCATGGGTACATTGAAAACTCCATTTGTATTATTGCTTTTATAAACAATTTTATTAAATAATGATCGTTGTTGTGTTCACCCATACATATACATAATTTTAGTGTAAACAAAATTTCGCAAAGCCTTTGCCCTATCTTAACTTATTAATGAGATTAGAGGCCCTTGTTTTGGTTTTCACATGCCATTATTAGTACCTTTAACTTTTGGCCAAATAGTACAAAATCCAATGAGAGAGCAACCTAGGTTCCTCGACGTACGGCTAACTCATGACACCTTGCCAATGTTTTATGGTTGTACAGACTAGTTTCCATTTTGTTAGGGATCACTTTCGTTTTCTTCTATACTTTCTGCTTTTCGGATATTCTGTCGTGTCATGCACCATCATCACATTACCAGAAAAGAAAAAAATGCAAGGCTGGCTGTTTAGTTTATCTAGATTTTTTTCTTTTTTAACTATCCCGTTTAATAAAAGTAGATTATTTTGTTTGTTTTCACTTTTTATTTAAAAAATTGTTCTTCATACTCACAAATATTTTATTTTTTTTTTATTTAATTTAAGGAAGTTATTTGAATTCTTTTTATTTAATGATTATGTACAAAGCCTAAAGGTCTATTTTGGATTAACTTAAGAGTTTCAGATTTTTGTTGATATAGAATTTTCTTGTAGAACGTTTGAAGAGAAAATGTTGTATTTTCCCCTTCTATGTTAAACATTCGAATAGACTTAGGCACTGCACTTAGCCTATATCTATGTTTTATCTTCTCTGCTAGTTACGAGCTATTTTTAGAATTCACTTTGAGTGTTGGCGTCGAGTCATTAAGTGTACTGAATAATGTACAATGTACTAATCGCTTTTCTTATCTTCTCTGACCCTGGTATACATTTGATCTGTAACACAGTTGTGTAGACTTGTGTTTCAGTATCGTAGTATATTATTTAATTCACTAATGTTGTTAAAAGTTAAAGAGTTACAGTTAAGAGTGTTCCTAGGTTCATGGGAAATAGTTAGAAAAACGCAGATGTGAATGATAAGAGAACTTTATTTACTCCTTCATTTTTTTTCAGACAGTAACCAGTGAATAAATGACTGATTGTTTTATAATTTTCTTCCCTTTGCAGGCCAAGGAGATCCTCTCCAAGGAGTCGAATGTGCAGGAGGTGAAATGTCCCGTGACAGTGTGCGGAGATGTCCACGGTCAGTTCCACGACCTGATGGAGCTGTTCCGGATAGGCGGAAAGTCCCCGGACACCAACTACCTGTTCATGGGCGACTATGTAGACCGTGGATACTACTCTGTGGAGACCGTGACCCTTCTGGTGGCCCTGAAGGTCCGCTACCGGGAGCGCATCACCATCCTGCGCGGTAACCACGAGTCGCGCCAAATCACACAGGTGTACGGATTCTACGACGAGTGTCTGCGCAAGTACGGCAACGCCAACGTCTGGAAGTACTTCACCGATCTGTTTGACTACTTGCCGCTGACGGCGCTCGTCGACGGGCAGATCTTCTGCCTGCACGGAGGCCTCAGTCCCTCGATCGACAGCCTGGACCACATTCGGGCCCTCGACCGCTTGCAGGAGGTTCCGCACGAGGGTCCCATGTGCGATCTTCTCTGGTCCGATCCCGATGACAGGGGCGGCTGGGGAATCTCTCCCCGTGGTGCCGGTTACACCTTTGGACAGGTGAGTAGTGCCTGCAGGATGGCTATTCCACAAATGTATTTTCAGTTGACTGACTTCATTTGAATATGAAAGACATGATAATATTACAGCTTTGAAAGTAAATTGTAATTCTCATTATCTCACCTAGTGATTGGTTTATATTAGGTAACTAGTTATAAAACGGCATTATTATTCTTTTTTTTTAATAATTATACTCTTAAGTACTGATACTGATAACGGCCCATAAATATAATTCAGAACTATAGCTTGTGTCTATTATTTTTCTTTGTTTAGTAATCGGTTGTACAATTGGCAATAGTAAAATTGTAGTGATATAGAATTTTCATACTAAATCATTGCAAATAGCAAGTAAAGTAAATTAAAGTAAGTAAATTAAATAAAAAAAGGTTTATTAAAAACCATTTCAAAGCTACTGTAAAGTTACAATAGAAATCTTTCTGTTTTGTTTATAAGCTTTATCACTGGCATTTACTAATCACAACATTCGGCCGATAAAATCAATAACCAGTAATAACTAATCGGAATTTATGGTACTACTTTAGAAATAAAGCTATTCAGATGATATGCAGTCAAAGTTTATGTGAATTTCAAAGTGTAGGAGGTTAAACAAAAGGATATAAATTACAAATCTATATTAAAGAAAAAAAATATTTTAAAAACAATTGAATGGTAATTTAATCCTTAACAAATTTAATATGTCAACTAGTCGAAATTCAGAACAAAATGCCATTAGCTTCCCTTCGAACTTTGACTAACTTTTGGCATCCTTTCAGGATATTTCGGAAACCTTTAACAACACAAACGGCCTGACACTTGTGTCTCGTGCCCATCAACTGGTCATGGAGGGCTACAACTGGTGTCACGATCGCAACGTGGTCACAATATTCTCAGCGCCAAACTATTGCTACCGATGTGGCAACCAAGCGGCCCTCATGGAACTGGATGATTCACTTAAATTTTCATTGTGAGTGCAGTTTTTCATTCACCGTCGCCTTTAAATGACTCATGTCTGATTAATCTCTTTATTCTTTTTTAGCCTACAATTTGATCCAGCACCCAGGCGCGGGGAGCCTCATGTTACACGAAGAACACCCGATTATTTCCTTTAAGCTGTACTGCTAGCACCTACGCAGCTTACATTTACACATATTACATCGCATTATAACAACAAGAACCGAAACAATATATAATATATACAAATCCAACCAGCAGCAACAAAATAAACGAAAGGCAAGTGCTGTCGAAAAAATTACCATAAAGAACAACCCGAAACTAAAACCTCGATGCATTTGTTTTGTGGAGATCGTTTTAAACAGAAAGAAGTGAAAGATGTTGTATAAACAAAGAGAAAAGTAACCATAACAGTCGAGAACACAAAAATGCATTGAACAGTTATTGTTGTTGCCCACAGTTTAAAAGAAAAACCCGGAAACGTTGCCAGTTGGGGTGGCAAACAGAAAAGTTATATCAAAGTTAAAGGGGAAGAGCAGGAGCAGTATACAGAAATGATGATACAATCCAATCAAACCTACCTACCAACCAACAACCGCAAGCAACAAGAAGAACTACAACTACTTAGCTAAATTTGTTAATTTATAAAAATAACGAACTAAGCGTCGCAGCAGAAAGCCAGGGAGCAGGCATGATGGATGGACGGACTCATGGATTATGACGTGATGTGTGTATGGGCGGAAGGGGCTGACAAAGGACTAGACGGGACGAAAGGACGAACGCCAGGACGAGCAGCAGCAGCAGACGACCCACGACCGACAAAGCAGGAAGATTTCGATGAAGCAGCAGGAGCAGCAGCAAAAAACTAGCAGCAGTATATGGCGAGAGCAGCAGGATAAGCCAAGGCGATCGGGGAAGCGCGGGGCGGGCCAGCGATTCATACAAAAACAAAACGTATAAAAAAGAAAATAAGGAAATACAAAAAGTTTAATATTACTGATTAAAATTAAATAAAAAGCGAATAAAATTATTAAAAAACAAATAAAAAAGCTAAGAAAAACAATTAAAAAAAATTCATTATCAATTAAGTTCATATGTAACTTTAATAATAATAAAAGAAAAACAAACAAACAAACTATCCTAACTGCAGACGAAGAGAAAGATGCAAGAGAGAGCTCTTAACGGAAGGAGTGTACTTTTCAAGCCAAGGGAGAAAGTCCTTTAAGAGAGTTCAAAGCGCAAAAAGGATTTTTAGAGCTGGCAATGCCGCTTCCTTTTGCCTGCGGCCTTCTTTGGTAGTATGTATGCGAGCCTGGCCAAGATAACACGAACGACAAGCGGAAGTCGAGCCTCAAACGGGCCACCTAATTGAGACCACAAAGGAGGCGTGATGGGGGAGGTGATATATGGATGGATGGCATAGGGCATGGGGCATGGGGCGGATGGGAGATGGGGAGGAGAAGGTCGTGGAGTCACCCAACGATGCCCAAGTCAAAATCTAAATCAGAGCCGGGCAGCTTTTGATTCCCAGCGAAAGCGAAAGCAGAAATCTTGCCAACTTTGTATAATTTTTTGCATATTTTAGGAGCCCACATGAACTGGCAAAAGACTTGTACAGTGGGCGCTCGCAAAAATATGCTTCTTGTTTACTACGTAGTATGAATCTTAGTATTTTTCATAGCTTACTGTCAATTTTGAATGGGTTTTTGTAATAGATTAGGTGTTCATAATAATTTAGTTATGACTTGTGTTGTTGTATTTAAGAAAGAATTTATTTATTTTTAGGTACTTATAAGGAAGGGTTGTGTTAGGTCCTCAGCAGTACACGTTGTGATACATTCCTGGTTAAACCAAATAAAAGTTAAACCAAACTAAAATAGGTAATTTAAAGTAACGGTTTCTTAAACTATAGTGTTTTATTTCTTTTTATTTTTATTTTTTTTGTTTTTATTGATACTTATTGGATTCAAGATTGGGTTTAGACACGTACTTTTTGTGAGACCACTTTTGATGGTTTTTGTGTTTTTCCTTGTTTATGAAATGTCTTGAAATAAAATCTTAAAACAACAATTTAAGAAACTTGCTTCGGAACATTTAAATACTTGCAGTTATTTTTGGATAAATAGAGAAATGCTTTGTTTTCTATCATTTTTTTGTTGAGTAACAGTAAAGATTACAATAAAAGGTACTTTTATGGTACATATGTGAGTAATTCGTACATAAGAAGACTGTACTGTAACAGTGTGAGCTTTGGTGTGGATGCAAATTCAAATCTGAGAACATCCTGGGACCCTCAAGTGCCCAAGAACTTGCTGAACACACGGCCATACCCGTACACCTACCGAGAGTTGTCATCTATCATGCCCCAACGAACCCGAAACCAGAACAGGGGCTCCACAGGATGCAGGAGGGAGGTAATTGTCGCCCTGGCTGCTGTGGGGGGGGTTCGGAGTGGGGCGGGATTGTTGGGGTGGAGTGGGGAAGGGGTGCCTGGAGCAGATTGTATTTGTCGTGCGGGCAGCGACGTCGACTGCGACTGCGACTGCGGCGTATGCGACATGGAAAATCCATTATCACGAAGTGAATTTTTACTGAAAAATTTACATACCCTCTCCAGTGCTCGCCGCACCCCCCGCAGTCTCATATAAATGTGGAAATAAATCCTGAGTGCGTGTTCAAGGGGCCAAGGGGCGTGGCGGGTGGGGATGCTCGGCATGAATATAACCCACAGAAATACAACTCTATTTGATGGCCTGTTATTAAGTAAAGGAATGCCACACAAAAGTTACCCAGCTAGAGAATCCTAGGTAGATTTTGTATTTAATTAAAGGCATAAATTCAAAACGATGAAGGGAGCCATTTGGGCAGCCTCCCTTTGACACTACGAAAATATTTGATATGTCTAGTACTAACCGAAATGATTTGTGCGAACCGCCTTGCCCAGTTTTAAAGCGATATTGCAGATAAATCTTTGCTGTTAGTAATATTTTTATGGTCACTTGCTTGGTAAATGAATCAAAGGGTGTTCCAAAATTGCATCTTCCTATCTCTTGTTTTTGAACATTTTTGAAATTAAAACTTGAATACCTATATCTAGGTAATCCGCAGATTTTTTAAGTGTATTCTGACTCTTGCTTACAGATGATGGCCGAAAATGTTCGGATCATAAAACAAAAGTAAGTGAATCGGTATGATGGATACGGTTAAGGTTACGGTCGGGATGCTGTGGAGGGGTGGGAAGTGGGGGATGCAGCCACTGTCGGTAGCCTAAATATTAAAAATTTAAATGAACTGCTCACTTTTTACGATTCTGTCCTTAGTTTACGACTGATTTTTCGGAGGGATAGAAAGAGAGGGCGTGCCTAAACAAACGTTTTTGTATTTTTATCGTTTGTGTGTGGGTGCTTTTTGGGGGTAATTTTGGGGCTAGTGTGTGTGGGGTGGGGTGTATCTTTTACGATGCAAATTTGTTGCCATAAAATTGAAGAGTGTAGCCAAAAGTGAAGCGCTTTGCCTAAATAAACTTTGCAGACTACAATGATGATGATGAGTTGCCATTCCCGCTCCGGTTGATGATGATGACGCCTCTGTGAGTTTTTGGGACTGGATGCTCCGCCACGTGCTGGCGCTGGGAAAAGGTTGAAAGGTCAGGCCTGCAACTCACACGTTCCTGGGAAAACTGGGAGGTGGGTGGTGGGTGGTGGCCCAGAGATCCGAAGGCGAGATTGCCTCTTTTTTCGTGGCAGGGGGTGGCGCAAATCAACGAAAATCGATTGCCGCTAAATACCCAAAAAGTTTGGGGAGCTGAGGAGTTAACGTAACGTTGTTAACTCAACTCAGCCTCAACTTGGCCATATACAAAAAGTTTTCCCTGCTCCCAGCTTGTTCTTCTTTTTCATCGCTTTTATTGTTGTTTTTGCTCCTGTTCCCTTTGGCTGATAAATCCCCAACGATTTGCGTCTCAGACACAGCCAGTTTTTCTGTATATATTTAAATTCTTACACTTTTTTGCACTCGGCACTTCGAGCGTGTTGAAAGGGTGTACAGCAATTGTGGAAAATTCTATTTGGACTGAGATCTGCGAGGTCGAAAATATTTAGGATTCCGAAATTAACAAGTAGCACTTAATAACAGTTATTTATTATTTGTGTCCATTATTGAAGGGTAACGTTCGCATTGGTGCTTGCTTAAATATACATTCTTTGTTTATTATGGGGAGATTATAAATATTAGGCTTTGTAAGCCTTTTGTAGTGTGTATTGAAATTTATTTTATTTTCTAGTATAAGAGAATAATGTTGTCAATGTTATTAACTTCAATAATTGAAGTAAAAATCAATAGAATGAACAATTTAACGATACACTTCACGGTGCAACATATTAGAGAGGAAAATAAGTAAGCAAACCAATTTTTGAACTAGTTACCAGCTGCCACGTTACAAAAATAAACGCATGGCTCAATTACAACTAAGATTCTTAAAAGAATATCTTTCTTCTTCTGATATTAACTGCGCCCCGCTTTCGTCTTAGTTATAATTCCCTATGGGCTGTTGGCAAGGTATCCATCGCACCCCTAGTACGAGCCGAGCTACTACTTAGCAACTAATCTAACTTAAACTGGAACTTATTGCACTGTCCGATTAGATAAGATAATTAATGTGAGACTTTAGACAACAAGCAGATAACCGAGCTGTTTTTGTGGAGGTCAATGGGCATGGAATATTAAATTAGTAATTAGCTCGGCAGCGTCAGCAACAACAACCAGATGTTGTCGCAGCCGCCCCATCACCCCATCGCCCCAAGCCCCTCGCCCTCTCCGCCCGGAAAACTTTTTCTTTTCCCTGCCGGGACGAGACCTTAGTTTGCTCTTTTGCTTTTACTTTTGTTTCGCTTCCGTTTTCACCTGCAGGAATTACTCAAATTTATCTACGTGTGCCGTAGGTTTTAGGGCATTTCGCTACGACCTCCTATATTTCCTGGGACAGTAAACACTCCATAGAGAAATTATAATATATATATTCTTTTTAGTGGTAAACTAAATTACTTTTTTACTGATTAGGGATATTGCCTGTTAGTAAAAGTGTACTAGCTAAATAAGAAAACGAATTTTTAGACAATTAGTTTTAAAAGTGTACTATTTATTTGAATGTATTTAAACAAAAAGAAATACAAAACACCAAAAAACTACTTTTCAATATAAATCTAACAAATATAATTTATTATATATAATGCCACAAATATTAGCATTTAGGAGTATTAGTTATTTAAACCAGTTAGTTTAGTCTCTTTCCGACAGTTTCTTAGTTGGAGTACGTACATTTTAGTTAATTTTGTTAAGGTCGCACTGTGTTCGCATTGTATTTTTGTTTCTACTTTGTCGCTTATTGTTGATTTTTTTGTGTTTTCGCCGTTTTGCTGCGGGCATTGACTGACTTCCTTCCTGGCTGCCAGGACGAAGCGCGGGGGCGGGGAAACGGGGCGGAGGAGCTGAAGAAGAAGATGAAATCTCCTGGTTTTGGAGCCTGGTTCCTCGTCTTCTGGGTTGCGTGATTCGCTTTTGTACGTTTCTATTGCCGCTTCCTTCCGATATTCCCCCTGTTTTCCCCAACCCCCCTCCGTGTTGTATTTGTATTTTTCTTTTCTCCAACTTTTTTCCTCTGTTTTTCGGTTTCTGCCTTTCTTTTGGACAATTTTTTTCTTTATTTCCCAGTGAATTTGGTTGTCTCGCACGTGAGCCGCATAATGAAATTTGCCACTCCCTATTGTCTCTGTGTGTGTCGCTTTTCCTCGCAGCGTATATGTGTGTGTCTGTGTTGGCCCAGCTGCTTAGCCTAATCTGATGTCGCCTTAAAGAGATGTCATTGCTACCACCCCCACCACCTCCCCAAAATGATGCTCTCGACTTAATGCAAAGGAATCTCGGCCTGAATTGGCCTGGGTTTTCCGTCTTGGTCCTGTTTGTCGG